CAGAGACTGGATGAGACACTTCATAGCTTCAAGATGCTATCTTGTATCCATCTACTAAAAGTGTCAACAGTCAAGTACTTGCTATCCACCAGCTCCCAGGAAGAAGTGAGCCTCAAAATTCAGTCTGAAATACTCTTTTATTTTAAGTCAGCCTTTACTGCAGTTATTAAAGAATGCATGTTCTATGATTTCCATACACCTCTTACTTACAAGAAGTTCTGGACCATGAATTATCTTGTCTAGAAGCAACCTGCATATCCCCTTATTCTAAGAAAGCCAAGGTAGTCCACATCCAGAATATGTTTCCTGGATTAGCAAGGATTGGACTCTTTAGTTTGATATCTAAAATTCTCCTAGCATTCATATGGGATAAAAACCCTGGATAGGATGTATTTTCTGTCTTTCCCATTTCTGAGCCAGCTGGTATCAAAAGGCCTTGGAAACATAAAAGTGACACTGTTAAATCACTCTCACCATCATTTCTTTCCATTCTTAATGACCTTGTAGCTGAATTGTTTCTGCTGTTTACATTGCATTAATAGATGAATTAATGGAAGGAAGAAGTATTTCTCTGTCCATCTTTAATCCTGGGCTATTTTAACTCCTCTGCATTCAACACTTCTCATCAAATGATAAAACTAAGACCATATTTTAGTTGCTTCCAGTTTTTTTTCGATTTCATATAATTTGTTGTGGTGATTCAGTCAGTTCAGTTCCATCTGAGTCTTCATGACCCCATTTGGGGTTTTCTTGGTGGATACACTGGAGTGGTTTGCCATTTCCTTCTCCAGCTCATTTTACAGGTGAGGAAACTGAGGCAAACAGGGTGAAGTGACTTGTCCAAGGTCAAATAGTTAGCAAGTGTCTGAGGCTGGATTTGAACTCTGGTTCTTCTGACTTCAGGACCAGTGCTCTATTCACTCTGTCCCCTAGCTACCTCACATTATTTTTAACACTTTCAAGATGTTTCCAATATTGAACTTATTTCATCAAATGCCATGATTATTTTTGCAACTTATACTGTGTACTGCCAAATCGAGCTCCAGAGAAATTCTACAAGTTTGCAACTCCACCAGAAATGAATAAGTGTGCCTATTTCTTCACAGTCCCATCAGGATAGAATTTCCTTACTTTTAATTATTTATGCCAATTTGACAAGTATGGGAAGGAATGCAAAGAAATTTGGAGTTGCCATTATGAAACAATGCAAAAAAGGGGGGGGAAAGGAGAAAAGAAATAATACAAAAATTAAAAAATGAAGTAAGCATTAATTGTGAGTATATGAGGAAAAATGAATGAAAATGAATACATGAAGTATTCTGATGGGGAGACAGTGATGGGAAAAAAAAGTGTTATAATACTTTATACATTGTAATTAATTAATGTAAATGGAAATAGTGACCAGGTAAATATTTTTATGTTCAACGTTGCTCATAATAAATCATTTTAAAGAAAATTTAGGCCACATTTTATGAAAACTGGAGACCCCATGGCCCCCCAAAGAAAAGATATAAGGCATTCCCCATCCCTTTCCTTTGCAGAGGCATGAGCTTCACAGGTATAGCACATTTCGGGCACTTTCCGATTTTTTTTCAGTGTATTGATAGTGATCTTTTTCTGATTTTATCCTCTTCTTCCTTTTTTTGTCTTTCTTTACAATACTTTTTTTTAATGGGATGGCTCCCAGGGAAGGAGAGGGGGAGGGCATGAGATACTTGGAAAAAATGCTGCTTATGTAAGAAACAAAAGATAGTAATAAAAATGTATTTTTAGAAAAAGAATCAAGTTCACAGTTATAGGGATGCACCATCTTCCCAGAAAGCTTACCTACCCCTTAAGACTTTCCACAAACAACTTAAGCTTTAACAGAAGGATTCATTTATTCTTTCTATTTAATTCCTTAGTCCACAGAGAGTGAATGAGTTCAGTTTTCAAAAATGTGACTCTCAGTGTATCAATAAGACTTCATTAAGCACCTGCTGTGTGCTAGGACTATTTTTTAAAGTGAGTTTATGGCACACTAATCTAGTGTCTAGTAGCTGAAGAGAGATTATGAGACATGGATTCATGAATGCTAGAGTATAATCTGGTCTATCCATCTCCTCTCATCGATGAAGAGTAATGCTCAGGACATTGCTAAGTAGGTGACTGGCCCAAGATCTCACAGCTAATTAATGATTGAGTTTGGAAGCAAACCTGAACCTCCTAAAACGTAGTCGAGGCCTTTTTACATGTAATTGTGTTGACTTGGCAAAGCCCAAGACCAGGACCAAGCAGCTGTTGATTGGAGTCTTCTATTCGATCATTTCTATGACTTTAAGTGAATAATTTCAGTTCTTCCCCAGTTTCTTCATTTGGAAATGTGGATACATTTGTATTTATTTTCATCCCAGGAAGAATAAGAGAAAGAAATGCCTCATGGAATCCTGTCAATATTGAATCACCTCAAAAAAGATAAGAGCAGGTGGCCAACATTGAGTTGTGTCTGGTGATGTCCACTAAAGAAAGGAAATCCAATAGTGATGGCCATTCAAGCAAGGGTATGTCGTCCTACACGTATGGAGAAGAAAAGCAGAGAAGCCAAGCTGACCTGGTGCATGCTAAAGTTTGCTAGAGATCCATCTTTGACTCCTCTAGCCCGCCGTATCCAATCTGTTTCTAAGACCTGTCAATTTTGTGACCTTTACAACTTCTGTCAAATATGTCCCCTTCTCTCATCTAACACTGACCCTGCCCTGGTGCAGACCCTCATCATCTCATGCCTGGAAGGTCTGCCTGCCTCAAGTCTCTCCCTACTTCAGTCCATTCTCCATTCAGCCACTAAAGTAATTTTCCTAAAGCACAGGTCCAATCTGGTCACTCCTCCCCACCTCAATAAACTCCAGTGGTTCCCTATTACAATCCAATACAAAAGACTGTTTGTCACTTCAAGCCCTTTGTACCTGCCTTTCCAATCTTCATGCATCTTACCCGCATCACATACTTTTCAACAGTGACACCGATCTGGCTGTTCCAAGTACAAGACATTCCATCTTTTGGCTGTAAGCATTTCTCTGGATGTCCCCTATGCCTGGAACATTCTCCCTACTGCCTACTGACTTCCCTGGCTTCCTTTAAGTCCACACTAAAATGCCATCTTTAACTGGAAGCCTGTCCCAATGCCTCTTAATTCTAGTGCCTTCCCTTAGTTAATGATTTCCTATGTATAGCTTGCTTTGTGTCTGCTTGCATATTGTTTCGCCCATTAGACTGTAAGCTCCTTGAGGGAACGACTTGTCTTTTGCCTCCTTTGTATCCTTAGTGCTTAGTATAGTGCCTTGCACAGTAGGTGCTTAATAAATGATTGATTGATTGATTGATTGATTGATTGACTGGGTACAAACTTCAGACCTGAATTTCTTCTGGCTCAAGCATAGATTCCATGTTCTTTTCACACAACATGAATCTGAGCCAGCCAGAAATAGATTCCATCCATGCCCAATTGCAAGTTTAGTCTTATTTCAATTTTTGAACATCTTACAGAGAAGAGACATTTCCCTCATCTTTCTTAATTCTGGCCCTAGGAACAGGGGTGGGGGACAGGGGGTGGGGTTCACTACATATACCATCAATCTCTTATTGCCTAAAATAGAGCTACATATTTTGCTACCCCTGATCCCCTACTTTCAGCTCCCTCTCCTTGTGTGTTGTCTTTCCCCAACAGAATGTAAGTTTCTTGAGGGCAGGGATGATCTTTTTACTGATATTTCTATCCCCAGCACTCAGCAAAGCCCCTAGCACATAAGCACTTAGTATATGCCTCTTTCCTTCCTTCCTTCTATAGAAGACAAGATAATAATTCAGAAACTTTCCCCCTCTTGCAAGATCTGAAATAGGACCTGTTAAAACTGAACAATGATAACATTCCATCCCTGGCTGATTAATTACCTGGAACTAACAACACAGCTCTAGCTCCTGTGAGTTCCATTCTAATTGTCCACCTTTGTCTCCCCATCCACCCTTTGGCGATGAATGCTCCTGTGTTGAATTGATGCAATGATTTCTGTAGCCTTTACATCGCTCTTATGAACCTGGAAGTTCACATTCCCAGGACTAGAGCTGAAATAAACCAGGCTTCACTCCATCTTAGCCCGGCAGTGAAACCTGCTTTCTTTTACCAGGTGGAAATTAAAAGGAAAAAAAAAAGATCTAGAATATCCACAGGCATTTGCAATCAAATTTTTGAAATGACAGCATCAACATGCACAAAGGGAACTTTTTTTTTACAAAGTACTCAAAATTTGCATATTGCCTTTATCAAAAGAGCTGTGTAAATGAGCTGGTGGGGAGTCTGTTACAAAGCCTTTTATAATTTATTCCTTGTACAATAAAAAGCTGATCAGATTTCATGTGTGTTTACTTTCAGAAAGATAACTGCCTATGTATGCGTATGAACTGAAGAATACAAAAAGAAGGACTTTCTCTTGTGGTGACATTTTAAGTCCCTAAATGCTCCTGGTTTTCACAAACCTGGTCCCTGTAACAAAACAATCATGAAGGTACTGTTGTCTCAGAGAAGGAAAGACACTCATTATGTAAGCCTGAAGATACATGAAAAGCATAATAGGTAGGTGAGGGCTTCATTGCCACTGGCACAAAGTCACCACAAAATTTTCAGAAAAAGAACCAGCTACAGAAAATAAAGGAGGCTATTATACTTGCTTACATCTCACTAGGCAGCCGGTCACCAGGGTCTCTAGCAAACCATAGGGGTGTTTCTATAGGTACCCATGCCAGTGTGCATAACTCATCAATTCCCATTGTCCATATGCCCCCAAATTTTGAAAATGGGGCAAATGGAGTGGTGGAAGGGAGGGGAGAAAAAACAAGAGCTTAGGCGCACCTAAAAATGCATGCTTTCCTGTCTACACATGCCCATCTGCTGTAAGAAACCCATTTTTCCATTTCCTTCTCATGTTCAGGAAGAGAGAGGGGTTTTCTATCATCTCATTGAGCCTCACCTCATATTTGCTGGTCATCTTTTCTGTCGTCTTCGTCCCCTGGCACATACGAATGATGCATACCTTGGCTCTTTTCTGTGATGGGAACCAGTTACTCTTCACAAAATCCATGACCATCACATGCTTTTTCAACTCTGTGCTATAGGTCTTGATTTGGAACATCTTCTCAGACGTGGTTTCCACATAGCTGGAGGAATATCTTGTGTGACAAGTTTGTGCAGAAATTCCAGAGTGCTGCATGATACTCAGAATCTTGTGTGACTCCAGCCGCAGAGCCGGAGCTGGGAACCGGGGCCGGGGAACAGAATTGCCTTTGTTCTCAGGCAATGAGCAGAAGCCAGACTCAAAGAGCCCTAGCAAAATGTTCCCCGTGAAAACATCACCTGATGCTTCCAAGCACCCGATCCTGGTGTCCCAACCTTGGAATTGTGATGCAGAAAGAATTTCAATGTGGAAACCTCATGAATGACCTTTCAGGGTCACAGGAAAGCCCCTTCTGGATACTTGGGTCCCCTGCCAACCAGCTGGCAGCCCTGCTCTGGTGCCCATGATTCCTGGATCAGGTAACCAGCGGGCCTTCTTTGATTTCAAAGGATTGTTTCTCTTCCCAATTATATTAATGTTTTCAAAGATGATTTCCCCCCGTTGCAAAACAGTTTGATATATTCTCAGCACCCATTCCCTTAAATGCAGACACATTTTTTTTAAAGTTTCCTGCATAGAGACCAGGGTTTAGCATTGTTGTTCTCTTTTAAAAAAGGTGACTTTCTCAACAGGACTGGAAGAATAAGTACATGCTGCAGATGAGCACAATGAGTGTCTTCAGCCCTGGGAAAGATAAGACACACAGGCAAGCAAAGGGGAAAAAAAAAGAAAAGAAAAAACCATTACCCAGAACTCCCTGCTCAGAAGAGAAGTTATTTCTGCAACTCGGCATTAGAAAAACAGCTTCCTTTGTTAGGAAGGACAGAAGGATGGTGAAGTAGCAAGATCACTTAGCTCTGTGTCAGGAGACCTGGGGACTAGTGCTAGGGCTGGCTTAAGGTCCTGGCTCTGCCACTCAACCAGGTGACCTTAGGAGAGTCATGACCTTTCTGGGCTGCCACTAATTCATCTGCGAAGTAGAGGAGGTTGAAACAGATGACCTCCAAGGCTTTATAGCTCTACATCTATGACCTCACGGTTCTCCTGCCACTAACCATGTGATTGTGGGTCACCACTTATCCAGTTCTTCCTAAAACTTGGAATTGAGGCAGTCAGCTAGACATGGAGGTCGAGCCAAGCAGGGAACCATCCAAGAGTATAATCAGGCTGCACAGACCTTTACCAATTTTGGAAGCATGAAAAGTCTTGAGATGAGAAAAGGTATGACTTGTCCCTCCTTCAGGGATAAGAGCTAAGATTGATTCTCTATTACTTCATTGTGCAGTTCTTTCTCAATTAACTATTTTACTATTTCAATTCATGTTCAATTCCTGGCATGTTAGCATGGTCAAATCTGAAATACAGTTGACATTAGAGGTTCCCAGTAGAACTGGGAGGTGATACTCCCTCTCTATCTGTCCTGGTCAGATAATTTCGTTCATCTCTGGTACTTAATTATTAAGGTGGATAGTAATTAAAAAGCATCTAGGGGAAAATAAACCAGGATGGCAAAGGAGCTCAATTCCAAGTTTTAGGAAGAACTGGATATTTTTTTTTTTTTTTCCTGGAGAAGCGAAGAATTTGGAGATAGATGATAGTGGCCCTGAGTTATTTGAAGGGCTCTCGCAGGGAAAAGGGATTAGATGAGGGGTGGGGAACCTGCAGCCTCGGGGCCACATGTGGCCCTCTAGGTCCTCAAGTGCAGTCCTTGGGGATTTGTTCTTTGAAGTTTCAATTTAGTCAAAGAGTCACCCTTGGGGACCTAGAGGGCCACATGTGGCCTTGAGGCCACAGGTTCCCCACCCCTGGACTAGACTTTTTCTGCTTGGCCCCAAAAGGCAGAACTGGGAGTGAGTCATGAAAGTTTAAAAGAGTCAATCCTTGATTTGACAAAAAAATAAACTGTCACCAAATGTGGTGAGCTATCTCTGAGATGGGGGCAGGGGGATTAACGTTTGTGGATCATTTTTGGACATTAGTTAATTTCCCAATTCTCCCCCTTTTCCCACTGCACCATGAAATCTTCCCTTACCACAAAGAAGTAAGTTAAGCAAAAGCAAAATGATGCATTGATCTTGCCTGCAGAAAATGCCTCATTCAGCGCCTGTAGGCTCTCTACCTGCAGTGCAGAAGGAGATTTCATTACTAGCCCTTTGAAGTCAAGACTCTGATCAGCTTTTTTTTTCCTTTTGATGTTAGCAGGGATGTCAGAGGCATCTAGCCCAACCTACAATAATGAGGTTCCTCTGGAACATACCCAACAAGTGTCACCTCTCTTAAGCACCTCCAGTGAAGGGCACCCCACTATTGCCTAAAGCAGCTGTTCCACTTGTCATATCTCCAATCGTTGGCTCGTCATTGCAGTGATCTGCATTCTGACCTCTCAAAGGTACAAGTCTGTATGAACTGGACCTATGTCCTCAATCCTTTCCTTTTCATTCAAGTATGACCACCCACTCTGCTTGCCACAGAGAATCCTGTGGATCCCTCCAGCACTCCAAAAGAATGCCCTTGGGATGCTGTCAAAAGTGTTGTGTTGTTAAAAAGAACCATCAGCATCGCTGAAACCTTAGAGCATAAAGGGATGTTAGAGGTCATCCAATTGAGCTCCCTCATTTTACAGATGAGGAAACTGAGGCTTTCATTGGCTATATGCATTTCTCAAGGTCACATTTTATTTATAACACCAAGATTTGGCCCCAGATCCTCCCACAGCAAATCCAGTATTCTTTTCACTGTCCCTTACTGCTCATGTCCTCAAATGAGTAACAAGCCTATGAAAAAACATGGCTTCTCCCTCTACAGAAAGCCTGAGTACACCTCTCCAAAACTCACAGTTACCTCTTCCGTTGTCAGCTAATGCTTTTTAGGCCCCTTTTCAAGGCCTGCAGAAAGTAAATGAAAAGATATAGCATAATTAGAACATTTTTCCTCATTGTGAATGTTAATCCCACTGGTGAACAGATGAAGAACTCACAGGCATGGATTCCTGGTGCCAGGCATCTGTAGCTTCTTCTCATTTTGAATAATTCATTATTTAAATACTTGAGTGCCTGTCACAAACAGGGCTGCCCATTCTATCAGGTGGCTTAGAGAAAGGAACTGATTAATTTCACCAATATTTCCACACCAAACACATTTAAAGCTCATTTATGTTGATTATGAGTCATTGAAATGCAATTGCTAACGATCTTGTAGGTTTAGTTAGTCACCCAGGGTCCAATTTAATGGGATGAAGTATGATCTTCCATGGAAAGTTAATATGGTCATAGATAGAACTCATGTACCTGGCCAACTCACTCAGATAAAAAGTCGCCTTAGGTACGGGGTGATGTAGGATGATGGCTATCCATCAATAATCTCATTAGAAGGGCTTGTGTTAGTGCAGTTCCTTAGCTGGTCATAGGACTCCAAATAACAAGCACAGAAAGTAAACACTTAAGGTGAACACTTGGATGTTATGACCACGGGATGCCTAGTACACGGCCATTTAGATACGTTTTGGTACCTCACTGTCCGTTGCATAAGTAGCATAAATGGAAAATGCTTACAACGGGATGACCAGCGAATGGAGTTTGTCCACCAGTATGTGTATGTAAATATGGGACCCAAGACAGGAGCAGCAAGAAGACGTTGATTTGGGCAAACAGGAACAAGTGGGCTGAGATGCATCGCTGAAATTGCGCAGTGATTTCAACGAATTTTGCCCAGAGCAAAACTTCATTTTTAAATGATATATTCTCCCCACATTGTCTGGTTGCAAACTTTAGAATCCAAGAACCCACACTGTGAGAAGTCCAGAGATGACGGAGAGACACATGGTATTTGTGAAGAGCCTGCAGCATGTTTCCCTGGTTAAATTGGGAGGAGAGTTTGCCACCGACTGGTTGCTTTAAAATAGCTGAGCCTGCCAGCCCTTGAGAAGTCAAGGCAAATTTAAAGCAGAGGAGCAGCTTTGTGGAGTGTGATCTCTATATGTCTGACAGAGGGCAGTGAGGAGGAGGGTTAGAGCAGGTGGAGAACAAAAGGGATTTTCTCTCCTCCCCACCCATAGGCCATAATTTCTTGTAGCAAGGATGCTCATCCAGGAGCTGACACCATGCCCAGCAAGGATCAGAGAGAAACATAAACTAACACAGCAAATTGGCAGCAGTTGGCCACTTCAGGGAGTTACTTCTTATAGAAGTGAGGAAAGCAGACCAGAATTCAAAAAACTAGTCTTGACCATGGAGAGTCAATATCCTCAGAGAACGATGGCCCCAGGGATCCCAGATGAACAAACACGACACATCAGAGATTCTAAGAGGAGAGGGCAGAGTGAGGGAACAGCAGGAGAACATCACAAGATGAGGACCCCACAGTACAGGAAGTGCAGGTTGCCATGGCCACACACTTCCTAAAAATGTGCCTCACTGATCACATATTCTTAGTTGTGCCCTCTCTTCCTATTGATTATATATGTATATGTGTACATATATGTATATATGTATATGTGTACATATATATGCATATATACAATAAATACATACGAATATGCACATGTGTATGTATTTCTAAGAGACTATGGCCCAGGTTTTTGGAAGAAATGTTGTGTAGCTACCATTCATACTATGCTATTTTAGTAAATGCCTTTGTTTTCAGCTAAATTTGTCTGCTGGCTGACTGTGAAGGGTAGGCATAGCAGTTGGGGCTCATGATCTACAGTTTTAGGAGTATAGATATTTAGACTAGTCATGAATCTAAGTGTAGTCACCTCTCTGGGAATTCAGTCTTCACATCTGTGAGTGCCAAGTTGGGGAGACATCCCAGAGGGAGTATTACAAAGGCATTTAGAAACCATAGTAAGTTGTCAGCTAAGGACAGGAGGCAAGGAGATCATAGGGGACTTCACACATGAGATAAGCATCAAGGTCTCCATTTACCACTAGCATGAAAGAAGCACGTACTTGGCTCAGCTTGTACTTTCTTCACTGCCGGCATATCCTAGTCAGATCAGCCTATATCTTAAATGAAACACAGTACGGTGAGTGAGAGTGGAGAAGCTGGTGGCAGCCATGTTCTAACACAATGCCAATGGCTCAGAGTTGGTGGTCAAGGT